TGCAGGAGCAGCGCCCAGGTAACAAGGGGCTGAACCGAGGCGCTGGGACCGGCTTCTCCTGCTGCAGCTAAACTAGTTGAAAATTAGACGCGATCACCCTCCCCCCCCCGCCCCAATGCTTCTAGACTGCTAAACTGCTGCTGCCACCTCTCTACCTTGCCTTCCCCTAACAGCCCAGGGTTTTATTCATTTTAGGTCTGCTTTTGAAATGCCCTCTTAAACTATTCGCGCTTGCTGTTTAGCAAGGATGGTCCCCGTTTTCAGTGGGGTGGCGTTTTATAAGGCAGCCGTACTGAAGAACACGACCCAGCAGCTCCAGTACTGAAGGTGGAGATTTTGCACGTGCTGAAGACTTACGCCACCGTACTGGCGCCAACGCACGTGTAGGGCAAAGATCAACACTGCTCCTCTTTGCAGGACGCAGAGTTTCAGTTTGTCTGTATAAACTCTTCCTAAGTAGCTGTTGTAAAGAGATTAAAGTCAAACTGACTCCTGATCCTGAGATTCTGTAAGTCCTTGATACTACAGTAGTAGCCTAAGCCGATAGAAAAGTAAAATTCTGCACGATTATTTTGCAGTCTCCCAGAAGTGGCCTTCTATATTTACTCGCATGTGCACAAGTTAGTATTTTGATGGCCTTTATAAGAGCAGTTTTCCTGAATTCCTGACTTGCAGTTAAATGGCATACCAAACATCAACAACTTATCTGTAGCTAAATATTGATCCTTCACTGAGGGTATTTTTCCTTAGACCGTATCTGCAAGAATACATGACAGAATTTTTTTCAGATGAAGAGTTATAAGAGCAGAAGACAACAAAAGGAAAAAACTTGCATAAGAAACAGATTTTGAATGATACCAGTCTAACATTTTATTTATTGCATACAAAAGGATTTCTTTTGACAATGGAATTTTATATGAAAAGTAATTTGATGCATACTGTTGAGAATCTTATCTTCAAAGATGCTGCAGAAAAACTTAAGGCAATGCATCTAAGCATGTAAAGCACAGTAAGTGGTGGAAATTTTCAAAATCAAAAGCCTATTCATTTTCTTTCCCTTAAATTATGGTCAAGTCACAACTTTCTGAAATAGAAGTAGGCTGCAGCTTTATTAGCCCCTGCAATAGCATATAAGACCAGAACACTGTGATTCCTGGCAAATACCTAAGTGTTTGACATCACATTACAATGCATACATTTAAAAGCAAGACAATATCAGTAGCAGTTATTAAACAACTCAATTCATGGGCCACTAAAATGCCTCTAGTACCAGGCACCCAAAGCAGGTGCATAAAAGAATTCCTAAAAAAATATCCCCAAAACCTGTGCTTCTTTGTCCTGTAAGGAAGCCAAAACGGGTTCCATCACATACCCAGGGTCTCAATTATGTTGCAGACCCCGTGTTTTTTTTTCCCCCCCCACCCCATGTCTCACAAGTACCTTCTTGGAAACTTTAAAAGAAGTGAATATCATCAGACTTCAAGCACCACTGGTAAACTAACTTCCCTCCTTTTCAATTTCACTGAAGAATGGGAAGTGTCTGTTGTTCAGTCCTTCCAGTTATTTTTATTCATTTTTACCAATGCAGATTTAATTTCATACCCACTTTCAGTTTCCTACCGCCATCATGTTCAAGAAGCTTTAGCATAAAACCATGTCAGGTTTTGAAGCAGCCAAATCGTATTTTGCCTCTCTCCCATATCCCCCATCTTACAAACACAAAGTGGTTTTTAAGTTCAGTTTTAGCAACGCAATTAAGCTTGAAAATGTCCACTCATCACACATGCTGGAATAAAAATTTCTCCCCACTTAATGCCTCAGTGCCAGAGGTGGTAAGTCTGTTGCCAGCAATAGACACTGCATTGGAAAATGCTACTCCTAACAGATTAAAAAAATAAAAAGGGAAGCAGCTTTAACCAGACAAAAAACAGGCATCAAATTAGATAAGGTCATATTTATAAATGGATTTTTTTTTTTAGTGTAAACATAACATTTCATTTTCTAGGTTTACTGTAAACTGTTTTACATTTATCTGATTATGAAAGACAAAGACCAGAGAAACTGAAGGTATTACTCAATCCACTTACAAAGCAGGTGGCTTAATGCAAGCTTATTGACATGTTCATATATGATCCCCTAGGAACATCTTTTCCAAAGCGACAGTAATACTGTCTCACTGTTTTTGCAGTTTTCAGCATCTGTTGAGCACATTTAAATAAACTATACTCTATTATGTGTGGAAAGAATGTTTATAAGCGACTTGAGTCCTGATGTGCATTAAAACTTCCTCCAAAGGCGAAATGTTAGTACATTATAACTTAATTCTATATACTATATTATGCAGCAAATCTTAACTATAGAAAATATTTCAATCAGTGATGGACTGTTGGTAATTTATAAAGAGGGTATCTATGATCAAGGCAAAACTAGATAACCACATAATTTGTGTCTCAGTTTCTACAGAAATTTACAGGCTTTCAATTTACTAATGAAAAATAAAACAAGAGACAGGTGAATTTAGCTAATTTTATTAACTTAAAAACTAATAAAAATCCCAAGGGATCTTCTAAACTTCTAAAGATCCCTGGGATCTTTAGAAGTTCTATGAATGCGTGTATATCTGCCCCTTCCCTCCCCAAGCCCACCCCCAGAAAACAACATCTAAAAAAACCCCTGCAGCTCTAAGTCCTGATTGAATGGTTTTATAAAACAAAAACCAAAAAAAAAACCCCAAAACAAGTGTGCAGATACTTCAACTTAAGTTAGCAGAAGACCAAACAAAGATTCTAAGTTCTTCCATTTCCCTAATATTTCTTTCAATCTGCAAGTATCTACAAATCCAGCTAACTGAAATCAACATTTAGTGTTCATTAGAGCTGTTTCACAGCAGCAAATATTAAGTTAGGGATTCAAATTTCTAGACATAGGAAGAAAAAGATAAATACAATCCGAACAGCAGTCTAAATGTTTAATATTGACATTCAAATATATCTGCATTGTGCTGAAAGTTTAAAACGAACACAAGAATCTGATCAGACAAAACTCTGGTGATGAGTATGCTATATGTATCAGTCAGACTGAATATAGTTCATATTCTGTTCCCAGTATTAATGATGGTATTTGACTCAGAATTGATATTGTTAATATACAGCAGCCATTTTTTCCTAATTAAGGAATGTCTCAATACATAATATTATCCTTTTCTAGATGATCTTTATACATTAAACTAAAATACATGATTGATTAAATTAAGGAACCCGAGGTTAGTAATGAGTGAAATCATATTTTCAAAGCTTGATACTATGTAAAACAAACCAAAAAAAAAAAAAAAAAAGAGACCACACAATTCTACTTACTAAAGCAGCTAGTCTTGCCTGCAAGTCTGGGGTCACAAAGCCCATAATATGTGCAAACAAATGCAATACAAGGAACCATGCAAAAATACAGTAATGAATTAAAAGAAAAAAATGTAAAACCTAAACAACAAAAAAGAGGTTTTATAAATACACTGAAACTCAACTGTCTACACGAACTGTAGGTCTAGCATTAGTTGTACCATATAGCAGAGCCAGCACTCTAGGTTCAATGCTTCCAAATCTGCGCAGGTAAGTCATGCCATCTTTGGTTGACTGCAGTACCAGGAAGGATGAAAGGGAGTGAGAGGGAGGACAAGAGTTCTGGAAAACGGTGTCAACTTTCACTAGGCAGTTGAGCCTCAATGTCCACTCTGCAAATGGGGCACTTCTTGTTAGTAATCAACCACTGATCTACGCATACTTGGTGGAAAAGGTGCATACATGGAAGGCGCCTGTCATCAGAACAGAAAAATATTTGTGTTAATAAAACATGTGCATATCAACATACCCATTGGAAAAATGGTAGTGTGGATTTTGCCATTGAGGTGTCTACTCTTCTTGCACCCTCTTCTTGGGTGTTTCTGCACCGTGCCCCCCCGCTTCACTAACCTTTCAAACTGTTGAACTTCTTTTTAGTGCTAAGAAGAAATGGATATAGGCAATGAAATGAAGCATCAGGTAAGTTAGAAACAACTATCCCATACAAAGCTGCCCAATTCTACTGCTACACTGATTTAAAATCTGTTACAGTTTAAGTAGCATTATTCCAGAAAACTTAAATTTGACACACTAGAATACACCTGATTCGTTACCCGAGATGCCAAGGCACACAGCACTATACGATTTAAATAAAGAATGAGTAGCATGTTCTCTAATATATTTTAAAAAGGTATCAGTTTGGGCTTGTATCATGAGACAAACAGTCAACTTAGGAAGATCATAAGAGAACCTACGTTCTCCCAAAGACAATGCAGACGGAACAATGAGTATTTTTAATTAAAAACACCTTTAACCATAGTTGGAGGGAAGATTATGAAACCTGTGCAATAATGGCTCCTCAAGAGCTCCTCCAATACCATCACTATTTGTTTTATTTATTGGTTACAATGACAAATAATGTTAATAACTGCAGCTGTTAACCTAGGGAGTGTTGCAAAGAGTAGTGTACCATAACAAAATATGGTCTCAAAGCCAGAGCATTTGCATTATATTTTGATATTCAATGGTACTATTTACCTGACATCTTCACCTTCCTCTAATATAGACAAACAGATGGTACACTTTTCCTCTGTGTCTTCTTCTGTTCCCTCCTCCCCATCTTGTTTGCAGTGCAGTTTCCTCTGTGAGAACCAATCAGTTGTTACCTTATTAGTAGAGATGACATTATTGACAAACTGAGCAAAATCTGTTTTTAATACATATTCAACATATACTTTGAAAACATTTGATAAATGACTTCACATTTTGAGTAGTACTTATTCAAATGCGTTTGAACTAAACTGAACCAAGAACTAGCACTTGGAGCAAAAACACCTGGCATTTCAGGCTTGCTTAACTCTTGGCTGAATTACAAAACAGCCTACTGGACTGTGAATATATAGTAATTTTGTAGTCTTACAACTAGTTCTTTCATTTATTGTCTAGATGAAAATATCTTAATTTCATTCATGAAGAGGCCAAAAATATTCCTATTCAAACCTAGTATCTTAAATCACTATCAGATAATAAAAGAACACTTATGTGGATAGAGTCCTGTATTATGGTATAATAAACTGAAAATGAGAGACAACTTGAGTTGCCAAAATGCTGTTCCAAGTACAAAACTTTTAAGTCTTCAAAATGCGATCACACTGAAGGAAAAAATGATATACACCAAGTGTGTGTCATAATTTATTACAACCCTTAACTTAAAAAACACCCTTACTTTATTTGATGAATTAAATTGCCAGCAGGCTTCAGTGTTAACTATTACCAATAATTATTTCATTGTTCTTCATTTTAGCAGTAAGGGGAAGGAGAAAAAAAAAAAGACCAAAAAAATAAACCCAACAAAAGACAAGACTATTCATAATAGATGGAGAAGTTATTAAACAACGCAGCTGAAGATAGCAGCTGACCACCACTACTGGGATAGGGGAAGAAACAAAATCCAAAGTCACATTTCCTCTTACCAAAAAAGAGGCATTCAAGAGGGGATGTATGTTTCCATCCTTAACTATTTAACTTTTCTGTATACTGAAGAAGCTACCTTGAAAGCTTCTGTTCTCCCATTCCCCCCGCATCTATACTCATCCCACTCTTCCTCCCCCTCACCCAAGATACCAAATAAAGTTTCTAATGCAAAATACACATCTCGGAAGCACAGGAAATTTTATCAGCCGATAACTGAAAGGAACGTTATTCTGACTCATCTGGAAAACAGGAATAGGAGGACATGGAAGACTAGAAAGGAGGTCAGTATTGCTCAGCTCTAGAGACCTTGCTCTCTCTATTGGGTTTAAGATGCTAAGAAAAAATGCAGGACTAAACAAAACGGCATGTATGAATTTGGTTATCAAGCTTCAGATCAGTTTTTTTTTATTTTTAAGCTTCTTAGCCAAGTAAGCTTAAACGGCAAAGCTGGTTTTCCCATTATCTGTAGAAATGAACAGATTTTCCCATTTCTTGTTTTAAATTTCTAAAGAGTAAGATCACTCTTCATCACTTATCTTCCTATGATATCTGTACATGCAGGTATAAGAAATAAAAGCTATGCTTTGACCTGGTACTAATAAAAAACACCTTTGTTCATCAAATTACACTAGCTCTTTATTAACACATGGAACAGATTCATTTTTAAAATAAGTGACATTGTAAGCTTTGCTTACGATCCTTTAAATTGCAAGATACATAAAACATGCACTCTTCGAAGATGACATTTCTGCAGATTTAAGCAAATGGGTGTTATTTACATCTTCAAAGAAGATATTACACACAGCCCACAGTTTGAGAAATCCTCACCTTTTTGTATTTATGTGGATATGTGCATCTTTCTATAGTTCCCTGTGTTGCTCCCCGATTAACGTTGCCTAATCGTTCTTCCAAGTGAATCAGCTCCTAAATATTACCAAGGAACAATCAATGCAAGAACTGACACTTCAATTATCTTGATTAAATATTAATTTTATTCTAACTTTCACAGAATGACAGACAACTGTCAACTCCCAGATTATTCAAGTACAAGCAAGGCAAAAAAGGCTATGTTGTGCAGGAAAAGTGACGGGTTTCCATAAACAAACACAACACTACCCGATGTTTTAAGACACAGGAAACACTATCTTACTACTAAAAAATTAGAAACTGTTTGTCAGCTAGGAATGATTATCAGTCTGTTCACACATACTTGTGTCTAATGACAACAATGCAATTAACATCCACTAGTAAAATATTTGCTTTCTAACAGTCATTGCAGCTTAGAAGAAAAAAGTAGCTTAAGTGGAAATACAGTGACTGATTTCTTATTCTCCAGCAATAAGTCGATTAGAACCATGAGACGTCACTGAAGATGCTTTCAGTGGACTAGGTCATTAACTCTCTGCATCTGATACTTTTTTTTTCTCCCCCCCCCTTTTTTAAACAGTTCCTGCACTATATAACAAACAGGGTAGCACTATCAAATTTCCCAAGTTTCACTCTCACTAGGAAAAACATGGTTATTCAGATACACCAGTACCTTTTAGCAACATATCCTGCTAAATGCTAAATCCTACTTATCGGGGGGGGGGGGGGGGGGGGAACAAAAAAAAAATATGCAGTGTCAGCTAATAACCATCTAAGCCTAACAAAAGACCTAACAAAAGGTCTAGGGCACCTTTTGTTGAATGACTTTTCAAAGTGTTTTCAGCATCTATTCCCAGCCCACAATAACGTGGTCATTCTATAGATGAAGGGCATTTTCTGTATTTTTTTTTTTTTTTTTTTAATATCCACATATAGAACTAGTTTCTGCCATATACCCTCCCCATATTCCCTCATGACATATTTCAGCATATATCTATTTTTATTCTATTACAAACCTCAAAATTGCCCCTGAAAGGGCCTCTGAATGATGTTCCATCCAATCCCGATGAAATGTAACGGATGTGAGGGTAGCCCGCCATGTCTGGTACCTATTCAAACAGCAGACGTTAAGTTAAACCTATTCAGAACAGTTTCAGTATTTTACTGTTCACTTTGCAAAATGTAAGATCCTTTTGCTTTTACTGAATCACTCACTCATTTATACTCCTCGGTTTGAATATATAATTCCAGCTGACAGCATAACACAACACTACTTTGAGCTCTCTAAACATAACTAGAAGCAAAACAAAAATTAGACTAGATCTGCTGCTATAATCTCTCCACATCTGCATTGCATATTTCTTGGTCTCACTCACCAAGTCTCACAATCTCAACCCAATTTATATAAATATGCCATAAACATCTAAGCTTTTTTGTAAGCAAAGCCTCTCAAACTATACAAGAAGTCCTACTATGGATTCTCAAACATAAGTTTTTGGTACCACAGAAGAAGCAAGGCAAATAGTCTGGAAAACAGCCAATACCCTTATCTTACCAAAACAACCAAGCACCTTTAGACGTACTTCAAATTTAGAGACAAATTAAAAAAGAGTAACACTGAAAACTTGGATAAACCTGCTAATCTAAAGTCATAGGCACCTCTAAATACACTCAAGCATCCACTGGCTTCCTTGGATATTAGAAGATATAAGCAGTGAACAAAATGGTGTCCAGTGATGCACCCTACAGGCACTTCAAACACCAGCGCTGTTCATACAGAAAAGGGAAAAGGTGGTTAACACACCAAGGACCACTTTCAACAGCAGGGTTTCTAAGCTCCATTTTGAGCCCCTGAAGACAAGTGAATAACATTTCTAACATAGTCAGTACTATACCAGCAGCAATTTTTCATAAACATTTTTAAAAACCCTCAAAATAATCAGCAGATTCCGTCTACTTGAACATGCAAAGTACACTGATACAGGGACTGTAGGATGCAGCTAGTTTGGAAGTTACGTATTTCAGAAATGCCTTCCCCTCTGTGCTGTTGGCTGGTACTGTCCCTTTTGCTCTACGTGGTGGCTCAGAATACATCTCACTAAGCTGTCAGCAAATCAAACATCCCCGATATTATCCAGGAAGTCAGGTATTTATGTGCTACTTTTCTTGTTTCCAGTAGACAAGTCTAAGCTTAACATATATAAAGATATAAAACTGAACGAGTGTGTTATGTGATAGCATAGGTCTAGATAAAGTTGTTCATACAACATAACAGACCAGTACGCTACCTTTCTTTATTTCTCAAATCTAGCCTGGTAACTAAAATCTGACAGGGACAGCAAAGATGGCTCTGCCCTCATTCATTTTGTTTAAAAAGGAAAAACGAGTATGATTAGTTTAAGTTCAGTAGTTTACTACCTGATCATCCTTTGACAAGCAACATGTACCAATACAAGTCATAAACACAGCCACGATATTAATACTAGATTTTTATAAACCAGAGTATATAGAATCTGGTGATTTTATTCTCAGAATATTTCCAGAATGATCACATAGGAGGTCTCCCTCTCACAAGTAACCTAAATATCTGTTGGTCTGACTTCTATTAAGTACCAATTAGAGTTGGAGATGAGAAGCAAGCAAGGCAGGATGACTGGGGCAAAGTCCAGCAGCAGATCAGTTCAAGATCTAAGTTGTCATGCAATATGCAAAATGGATTTACAGAGATTACTTACCAACACATGGAGTTCAATATGATTACCAATATAGAATGTCGTATAAAAAGGTAGGTACATTCATCTGCTAAAACATATCATGGAACTGTAATATCTGTTGATGTCACAGGTCTTACTGTTTGAGGAGACATGTTAAAATTGTAGCTGTGACAAAGGAGTGTGATGTTGCAGAGAGAGACAGTGAGCAGATTAAAAATACATCTGAAAAAGTTACAGTTGTAAGAAACCTCTCCCAGATAATCAGTGATTCATGATCCATCCTTCATTAAAGCGTGTAGTTCTCCTTTGTCTTCCAATTACGGAAAACACAATTAAAGAACCAGCTCACTGATCCTCACCATGAATGTACTTGTGGTTACAGATTTTTACTAGGTTTAGGTGCAGTCGTCATCATTTGGAAGTTTCCATTGCCTGTTGTTACATCATGAATTGATTGCCTCCACTCAGAGAAAAGGAAAATCCCTAACAAAACCTAACTCCAGTCCTGGATATCCCTTTCCATTTTCTTGATGCACCAGGATTTGAAAACAGCCTGCGAGAAAACCATGCATCCGAGAAGCAAACACTGCACGACGACAGGAGCTGTGAGGTCGCAAGCACTTCAGCTCACAGCGCAGTAGCGCATTATGGCGACCGTCTCTAACCCTACAGAACCATGCAACCAATCCATAAATTGCCTGGGGCAGAAATTAAGAGTCTCAAATTCCCTTTGTCTGTTCATCGCACTGAACTTCCCGGTTCTTAATACAGCCATTTAAGGATGAGAAATAGTACTTCCAAATTACATCATACTTCAGATTGAGCCGAGGGTGAGAGCTCTTGACTGAAAGAACTTTCACAAAATTTAAAAGAATTTCACATCAGACATACAAGCCTTTGTTTCCCTAGCACATGCTTACGCAATTACATCTCAGTTGCCTCAAAAGATAGAATTTATCAACTGGAGTAATATGTGGCCAGCCAGGTCTCTTCATTGCAACCTACTCAGCTACTGGAGACCACCTACTTGAGAAACCTACTAAGCTTAATTTTAACACTGCAAAAAAACAAAAAAAAAAGTTTTAAGATCTTCTCAGAGTACATACTGCAATGAACAACAAAACTTACTATGACCCACCAGGTGTTCCGATTGTGTAACTTTTCAGACTGTCACGTTATCACGATGGGGAGTGGCATATAACCACTAAAAAGTTACCAGGACCTACATCACGTACAGGCTCTCTTATGGAAAATTCTGAAAGAGCAGCTTATATTTCTGGACAAGTATAACACTGTATTTTGAAAGAAACACCTCTGTACAAACAAATTAGTGCTATAACCTCAGAACAAGCAGTCTGCTAGCACAGCAAAAGCTTTCCTAATTATGCTTGTGATTACAAGCTGGGGGGGAAGATCAGTAATGCCTGACTAAGAACAGCCTAACTAAAATCCATTTGACAGTTACCATTAAGCTTCAAATGCAAAGAAAAGCTCTCTGCCCTCTTGAGACAGCTTCAGCATGGTTAACCACACTTGGAAGTGTGGTTTCAGTAAGTTCTGAAATTAAACATAAAAAAATTAAAGGTAATGCCAGTCTATGCTAAATGTTTCTATATACTCCTTTTGAGTCAGTTAAATTATATGTTAAAGTAATATACTTTATATCTGCAAAGTCCACTACAAGTCTGCCCAAGAACAGCTTGTTTCCTCAAGTATTACTAGTTTGTGGCTTAGCCCTTTCTATTGACTCTATCCATTATCAAGAAAATTTTATTTTCATATTTGAAAAATGTATAGTTAAATTTGATGCACCTAGTCAAGGCTATTTCAAAGCTAATCTTGATCTGTACAACAAAATTAAAAGAAATTAAAATGCAGTATCTTGAGGTAACTGGCTCAAGGTGGTAACTTCATGCAGCTATTACAGAACAGTCACATATCTTAAGAGATGCGATAGCTGTATGACTGTACTGATTGAGTGCACGCCCCATGCACATGATTGGACTATTCTGATCAGCACAGCTACTAGAATGTACTGAGACCTACTGGCCTATGCCTTCAAATCCCTCCCAATTTCCACAATTAAGTGTAAAGATGGCTCTGAAGTAGGAGAAAAAAGGAGGGACGGCATATGAAAGCTGGGTACAGAACACCTGAGGGAGGTTAAGTTACTTCAAATAACCAATTCTTCAAATGATGATCAGAGATCTCCCTCTGACTGTCAAGCGTTCCAGGTTCAGAGACAAATTAAGTAGTCTTTAGGCTTACATCAACCCTAGTCCATAGCTAGCAAACTGTAAAGTCTGGCTAAATTTCTTCAGTGGGCCAAGTGGCCCAAGACAACTAAGTCAGGTAGAATTCTGTAGCTTCAAAACCAATAGCTTAACAAGGCATGAATTCAGTCATCTGTTCCCAGGGAGCGCTTCAGATCTTGCGCTCCCTGGTTTTCAAAAACGGGAGCATTTAAGAGCATCTCACTCATCCTCTCCCCTGGAAAGGGCTTCCCATCTGTCACTGCAGCATGTTGCAGAAAGGATTATTATCCCAGATAGAAGACAAAACTTTCAAAGGCCACTTACACTTCCCAAGCTGGAACATCTGCCTAACTAGCACTTCAGTATTTCAAAAAAATTCGAGACCTAAAGCAATACTAAGAGAATTGACAAAATCCTCGGGTATATTTGTTAGCATATCTAGGATATGGAAAGTTAGATGATACGCCATTGTAAGCCACCTCTGATCGCTATTAAGTTCTGAAAGAGGTTAGATAGGCCCATGGTATTCTCTTCTGAACTCTGAACACATTCATTTTTCTTCGTATCTTGAAACATTTTTAAACTAATCGGGGAAGATGCAGGAGGAGGGCTGATCACATCCTTAGGAGAGCACAATCTAATAGATAGCACTGGATGAAAGGTTTTCATCATTCTGCATGCTCCTCTTCTGGTATTTGATATAAATGAATAACATCTGGAAAACACGGGAGACAGGATAGACAACAATATAGAGAAAGAAACAATTTCAGGATGTTCTCAGGCTAAATTTAGAAACATCCTCCAGAGATTTCTCTTTGGATTTTTTTTTCCCCCCCTCCGTATCTCACAAGAAACCAATTCTTTTTTTCCTGAAGCAACAGAAGAAAGGAATTCTCCCTGGACAGGGGTTAGAAACATAGGCGTGTTTTGGCTAGTCAGAATGATGGTGGGTATTATAGCTATCAACAGAAAGTCACGTTCCTTCTAACGTCTATCTCATCTTACTAAATTATGGAAATTCCCATCCAGTCCACTCAGCTGTTGAGAACTCTGCAAAGAGCCTTTCACCAACAGTGCCAAACGAGCAGCCAGAGCCATGCTGAAGTAAAAAGAAATTCACGTGGCATCTGACAACAAGCACCAACATCAAGAACTGAGGAACTTATAGATAAAGCCTCTCTGTCTTCTGTCTCTCTCTTGTCTAATGTTGCATTAGTTATGACATACACACGGATCTCTGTTGATTCTTCCTAAAATATGTCACACTTGCAAAAATATTTACCCAGAAAGGAATCCATAGTGAGAACCACTGACAGAAGCTTTTTTCCTCAGCACATACACGGCATTAAAGCAGTCACAGCAAGAATACGCACACGCTACCCTAAGCCAGAGTCTCGCACTGATCAAAGTAATTGCATCAGCTCAAGGAGAGAAGCAGCCTAATCCTTGTCTAGGTAGATACGAAGGAAGCACTTGTAACTGCTTTTTATAAAGGACTTATCCTGAAGCAACATTTAAACAGGTGAAAGTTGCCTCAGCCAAGCTAAGAGAGGGTGGGGGAAAACAAAGTCTCCTTTTCCATTCAGACTGTCGGAGTTGTTAAACACTAGTTATCTTCCCCTAATGCATCTTTATCAAAACTGCAGTCTGCACCCCAGCACTGACTAGGTGAAGACTTAGATAATCTGCATTCATTTAAAAGCTGAGACTGATGCATCACAGTCAGCTTAAGCTTATAGCTTAAGTCATCCATTATGCCCTTTGTGGTCTGACAATACCAGAAGGGGTCTTAGCATGCCCAAAGAGACAGAAGATGCAAAGTCCTATCAGGCAATCCACTATTTTGGAACATGGATTCAATATAAATCAATTTTTAATTGAGTTACTGCATAACTTGCTTTAAAAGACTCCCCCCCCCCGCCAAAATTAAGAATGGAGAACATCAACATTTGAGGACATCTGCATCAAAAAATACAACTAATGAGCCTTGTACACCCCTATTTAGTACAGTCTGCCCTTGCTGCAAAAACAAAGCACTCATTATATTAACCAGCTTTAGCAGAGCACCTCTAATCACAGTTCAGCCTCTCCTCCCTTGCCCTAAACTCCTAAAGTCTCATGAAAAAACTCAAGTGATAGCAGCAATTTAATCTACTGCTCTTTAATAACCTAAACAGGTGTTTTCAGTTAAAATCCAATGAAGTTTATGTTTGATGAAAAATTTGACTACCTGCTCTATATTCAATAAAGTACCTGGCAAGAAACAATTATACTGACAGATCTGTTGCACTAACACACACATAAATGAAGAAACTTTCAGCTTTCGTTATTGTCATAGAAGAGGTAGAATCATCAAAAGGCATTCTTAACACTTTGAGCTCATTGCATACATCACCGCTAGCATTCCTCTAACCTGTCTTTATGTTCTTCTGTCAAACGTAATCTGAATACATTTTAAATTAGTTTCAGACTCAAAACACAACTTCAAAAGTCTAACACTTGATCTGATCGCAGCAGGGTTCGAAACAGACCCCAAACATTTGAGAAAACACTGCTTACAGCTGCCTGTACGCTGCAAAACATGCTGTCAGTATGATGCATGCAAAAACTCAAAATCTAAACAACTTCAATTCCACTTCACTTAACCCCTCCCATCCAGGGATTCATGAATTACTGTGCTGAGAATTAGATACCCCTATAAACACACACAGAAGTTTCTGTAGTTACAGAACCCTTTTTCATCCAGCTTTTACGTCAGTTAGAAGCAGCAGTTACCGAGTAGAAGGGCAAGTCTCCCCAAAGCATTTGTCACACACTGAAGGCATCTATCACAGCTTCTTCCTTCTACTGCTAACAAGAAATCAAACATGGGGTCCCAGCCATTTGTTTGCATAGCATTTGAGTTGTAGGAACTATGAAAGCTAAAATATACTTAAAACTCTCATTATACTGTGATATGAGGATCAGCCGAGTTCTAAATGTTCTAGAAGCTTCACAGGATTAATGGAAGTAAATCACAAAATTGACTTATTAGCCCTGCGGTGACAGAAACTGAGATTTAAAAAAAAGGCATGATGTTTGACTTACTACCTCCTAATGCAATCACAATTCACTGAGCTATTAGAAGGGCTTTTTTTTATTGAGACTCTAAAGCAACAGATGTTATCCCTTACAGTACACCACCTGAAATAAGTGTGAAAGAGGTAAACAATTTTTCATCCATTTGAAAAACAGACACCTAACCAAAGAAGCATGTAGAAAAATGTAATTTGTATAGACGATGCATAGGAGAGAAAATAATGCAATAAGAATTTTGGTGACTACATCTAAATACCGAATTCTACAGACTGCTCAAAAAACACAATGGTAAGCAAGCTGAGTATCAAGGAATGAGCAGTTCTGATACATCACTGAAGTACTTGAAGATTATTATCATGTTAGTTAAGGAGCAAGTAATCTAAGAACAAACTATGCAGAAGCAACTATTACTACGGTACTGATTGCAAACTTGCAATTCAATCCCTAGGTGGCAGTTCTTGCCTCCAGCAGAGGTATTTAGGATGCATAAGACTTGCATTGTCGATTTTTAATTACAATTTTAACATGTCTACAGATAGGCCCACAATTCTGATTAGTTTATCTTTAAACAGGTTAAATAATATGGGCTAACCACTTAAAATACCACATAGGAAGTCTAAATATACTGAGTTAAACTAAATTTGTGTCTTGGTGAATTTTAATTAAGCCACGTTTAGAATATTTAAAATAACGTTATGAAGATTCTTCAAAAAAATATTACTCTGTAAAAGTCATATCTAATTATTTGGGTTTTCCTTTAGTTTCTACTGCAGATAAAATATAACAACCTCACCTCCTGAATTTCTGTTTCTTGTAGCACTTCATGCTACAAATTATATACTTTAATCACAAGAAATTAGGTTGATGGACACCAATTATTACTGGAAAACCACCACATTTCTAGATGGAATTACAGCCGTGCTGTATTCAGATTTTATTTATTTATTTCTAAAGGACCAGTGTTAATCCTCAAGCACTGGGTGGAAAATTGGTACCTTTAACATTCTCTAACTCATTAAAGAACATAAACTTTAACAATCAGATGCAGAGGGTCAATGCATTGTAATGCAAGAGACAATTTAATTCAAGTATGTTTCATTTTACTGAGAGCTGAAGTTAGAAACGTTAGTGTCCTGAACTATCCTCATCTTATCAGATGCCAGCCTGTTCTAGCTTCCTATCTGGGAGCAACATAGACAAAGTATTTCATTCTTCAGCTGAACCACTAACTTTTACAGTAATCTATCCACATCCAATTAAATGCAATAAACCTTAAAATAATTTTCCTGGCAAATTAAAAAAACAAAAATACTGGCAACAATCAATGATCACAATCTTTTACAAGCTGTTTCCTTACCATTAGGGGAAGGGCCCCTATTTGCAAGTGATGAAGTCGAGGAGGTGCATGGTAATGGGCCAAGTGAGGGTGCAAAGGCCCTGGTGGATAAGTAGCTGCAGTCACACCAGCTTCAATTCCCAGTTCCCTGTCACATGAATGAAAGTGGCATTACAATAAAGGTACATCTTGCCTCCAAGATACAATTCCACTGCTTTGAGAAGCATACAAAACAGCACAGCTATCAACACAACAGTTTTACATAAGATGATTCTTGTAAACCTATTTAGACTTTGCAAAAAAAAAGTCATCTTAGTCTTACCATGAACTGAAACTTGTTTTTAAGTCAGCTGTGAAGACTTAATATGACAAATCTGTACAGATGCAACTCCACAGTTATTACGCTGAGTGATGTTACCAGTGGGGAGTCTTCTCTGTAGCTCATCATTAAATGTGGGCACCAAAGTGTCACATATGCACCTCTTCCCTCATGGTTCAAAATTAATAATAAAATATCCTTTATCCAGATGAGAAATACATTGCAGAACTTAAATCTAACCTTCATGAGTGGGCCCCATGCAATTTTAAATAAGCTTGTAATTCAAATTTGAACTTTTAAGAACATTAATGCAAGAATAATCTTCAGCAATATTTTACTTGCATATTTTAACATCAGTTCTTGAAATAACTAACTGCAGTCAGTGTCATTCAATTCCATTTTTAAAAGCAATGGGCAAACAAAAATACAAATATATTTAAGATATTGAGTGCTACAAGCAACATTTCAAAGCCGTATCAACATCGATGCATTTTAAACTACAGGCACGCACAGCACTTTTTAAAATCACAGCCAGCACTATCAACACATCTTAGGTCTTTTGTTCTGGAAACATGTTAGCGTAGTCACAAAACACTAAAATAGTATGTGATTACTGACCAGGCAGACCTCTCTGGAGCTTGTCGAGGATGGGAAGACATTGTCTGAGGCACATGAATATGATGCCCGTGACCATAATTGGGATGCATTCTGTGAGGATGTGGAGGAGGCCGTTCATGAGCACGTCTAGAGAACACAAAACAGCAACAGTTAGCTTCACATATTTGTTAGCTCAAGAAAGCAAGGTTCGTAATCAAATTGTTAGTCTAAATTCCTGGAAGCAGTTTAAAGTAAAATAACCCCATACAGTATGTGCTGCAAACAGCTTCAGCTACTGTGATCTGGCCTCATCTGCCAGACGTGATGACAGAAGGACTGACAAAGTCTTTAATCCTAACGTCAAACTGCAAGATGGAAAGCAGTTAAGTTCACATGTCAAAATTCAGAGTGCTTCACAGCTATGCCGCAGACTACATCCTTAGTTTGTTTATAATGAAACTGCACCAGAGAAAAGTTTAAATAAAAATTAAACCACCTGGAGGACACGTAATACAAGCACACAGTTTTTGCCACGCCAATTGGTATAAGCAACTACAATTCTGAACAATCATCTAAAAAACCCCACAAACAAAACAAAACACTGCTGGCTGAATTTTGTTACTTTACCACTTTACGTTTACAGAAAAAAAAATTGTATTCTTTTTTCCCCTTGCATTCAATGTAGGGAATAAGTTTTTATTCTAGGTCAAACTAAAACCTTGATCTTTCCAAAAGCAGCACACTGCCTTCAAATTAAGTGCCACCGTAAACTCGTTGACAGGGCAGATTAAACATTTTGTAAATTTAGAGATGTCTAGAAAAGTAATGTTATTTTACTGTGCATTGTTCAAATCACTGTAAATAGAGACTTTTCTCCAAATAAGAGTATGAAGCTTGTATAAACTATGATAGCAGTATGACTTCTCAGCAATGGCAGAGACCAACATGTGAAGAGTGCGGTCAGTAGAACTTATTCCTAGTCTCACCTCCTTTCAGATTATCAAGCAACTGTAGGGAAAATCTGGAACAACATATTTAATAAAAACTCAATGTCATGTAGGCCCACTTTTCTCAAAATGAGAATACATACATAGCTGAATCTTAAATCAAAAGAAACTCATTTGAATTCGTTTCTATGAAGGTTAAACTCCTAGCTATCTAGCCCACAATCTTACCATAAAGCGGGTGATCAAATTTATACAAACAGAAAATCCATATGCTATGCAAACGCAGTGCACCCTCACACACTGACTTTTGCACATTGTCTCTGATCCCAAGGTCCCAAAGTAGTTACAGCTGTTGTACCCACACTTGTGACGCTACAGCGAGAAAAGAACTCTAACCATTCTCTGCCTGCAATCTTGAGAAAGTCCTGTACTGCTAGACAGAAAACATACAAGACCATTAGTATCCCACGGTATTTCTAGAAACGCAGGATGAAACAACATCCTAAGAACTCTTTGAGATGCTGGGACGAGGAATCTATGGAATTCCAAGTCTGCTGGCCAGCTCCAGGATACTGGAAATACAGTGATCTCAACGTGTGTAATGTATAACAGACTAAATATACTCAAATTTCTAGTTATAAGAGTATGATATAGTTTATATTGGGTTGGACCAAGACAGCTGCAAAACTGGTTTTGCATGTAATTTGTATGAGTATTAGGGGGAAAGAGAGAGAACAAGGGATGAACAAGTTTGAGAAGGTTACAAAACAAACCTATAGAGGAAAGGCCTCACTGAGCAACAGAAAATTGACACTGTGAGACTGACGACCTCAGAGAGTTGCAGGAAACAACCTATTAGCAACCTTTGGCTACAATTTCTGTATGTACATACAACAACCACTAGGCAAAGAAATGCCATAAATCACAGCATTTCTGCCCTAATTACCAGTAGGCTTCCAGAACTGATGAGACAGCAATTACCACTATTTTTACTTAAAATTTCTTTCACTTTCAGGGGCTTGAATGTCCTAGCTTCCAAAATTAATTCTGGGGTACGATTATGTAATCACAGGCATACACAAGGGGTATAAGCTTTGTGTTTACGTTGGGTTTAGGTTAGGGTGTTTGGCGGTTATGACATTTCCGCAGCAAAGATGACAAAATAATGGATCCAGATTCAAATACACCTAAATTTTAATGACAGAGAAAAGGATTCCATTTGAGTTCCCTAGAAAGAAAGAACATGTCATCTGTAGTTTTGATATTAGACTCTCACAAAATTCAGTATCTTCAAAAAGAAATAGGAGCATGCTCTGTAATCTGTTTTTGAGAGGGGAAGAGTTACTGCCTATATACATTTTTTTATTTATTTGGAAACCGTCTCAAAAGTTGTAGTTAAGGTAAGCTTTTGTTTAAGCATTAACCTTTAAATCCACTGTAAATTAGTTATCAATAGAATTTGTACAACCAAGCTAGGAGCAACAACTGAACAGCTCATTCTTGAAGTTCGAGATCTAAAAGCATTATCTCCAGAATTAAAATAGTTTCAGTTACTTTGTGGTTGAACTCCAACCCAGTACTAACCTGATTGCTGCTGATACTAGTGTCATGCATCTAGTTTAACAACAGTAGTATCTCCTAAACAGTATCACCAAAGCTACATCTCAACATTGGTCACTTCTCATGCAGGTATTATTCACTCTCTCCCTACTTTCCTCTTCTAAAAAGATGAAAGCACAGTAAAGCCAGATAAACATCTAAGGTTCAATCTTTATAAGACCTGGTAAGCCATCTCTTCTGAGATGATGTTCATCTTATTTTAAAACGTTAGTTACGTAAGAAGGATCTTACTAGTATCAAGAAGGCAAAACACACTTTCAAGGAACAAATTCAGGAGGAGCAAGTCAGCTTATGACTTCCTAGGCTGTCTATCTTGAAAAACAATCCTTGCCTGTTCTCTGGAGGAAAACTAATGGACAAGAGAAGCATAAGCATCACACCTCTTCCATGCCCCATCGTACCTCTTGCCTTACCTGATGACACTGCTGAGAGAAGTAAAGGAACAGGCTCAGTCTTAGCACTCACTCAGCTGTGATGTTATTGTAAAGACAATTCTTACCATGGTTTAATTCTAACAGTTCCTAACCATGCAATTACAATTTGAGATTCACATGTAACATTTTACAAACCTGAGGGAAAGGAATTATATGTTTAGATATTGTTCTGAGTACATTTGTGACATACGTTGGGTGCTGCATCATTCTTCTTCTCTGGACCTCCATCCTCTGGATCACTTCATGAGGATGTAGCCTCTGTGCTGGAGGTGCTGTTGCAGGGATGTGATGGGATATAGGCTGGTGCGTAGCTGGAAGATGCTGTGGAATCGGAGCAGCTGCATTGGCTAAAGGATGAGTTGGTGGTGGAGGTGGAGGAGGAACAGGATGAGAAGATGCATGAGAAGAGATTGAAGGATGGAAGGGATGCACTGGATGAGGAATAACATAATCTACTTGAGGAGGAGGTTGTGGCTGTGGAGGAGGATTTCCATGAGAGTGGGGACATGCAGAAGCTTGATGGTGAAGTGGTCTGGTCAGAGAAGCATCTGCAATGAAAACATCAGGTGCTTTTAATCTGATCAGTAGCAGTTTTCTGGATTAAACGCATCTTAAAAAGCGCACACCTTCACACAGGTGCTTTAGTATTAAAAATGGGAACAGTTGCAACACATAATATTCATTATAAGAAAGTTCAACTTCTTAACAGTGATTCCAATGGCATACCCTAAAAGAAGTCCAAACTTCCAACAGCTAAAAGTTCTCCACTCGCTAATGTTGGTGAAAAGAAAAGAAACACCTCCTTAAACTTGCACCGCATAGGTATGTTGTGAGAAGTTCTGTTTCAAGTTTGTGTAGTGTGTAACAAGGTGCGTTCTGGTTTTCTTCGGCACTAAAACCACCACCATAGCCATAAAAGTAATCTAAACACCTCCTATGAAGTACGTATTTGTAGTTTTTCCTCAAAGCAAAGACGAAAAACCTTTCCGGGGGATTTCACACCCTGCTGACAGCTTCATCCAACTTCAGACTCCAAATACACTAAATAAAGGAAGCTGTAACTCTTCAGGGCTAGGAGGGAGGTTTGTTGATATTTAATTTTTCCACAAGGCTACTATTTAAGTTGAGTTCTATAGGAGACAATAAAATGCAAAAGACAAATCACAAACAGAACTAAAAAAAAATAAGGAAAAAGGCATTACTAAAATAGAAAGGATAGGAAAAATATTTTATCAGTAAATAATAAAGTATCTATTAAGGATCTAGGAGGCTGCTTATCTCAAACAACAACAGGAGACAGCAGAGTGATGTGTGCGTGCCAGAATTACATAATTAAAAAAACTGCAAAGAAAAGGAGAAAGTTTTCTGGAATTAGGCATGTTTAAGTTCAAATGCACCCAAAGTAAAAAATGCCTTCCAGACATCACAATGGTTAACCAGAAGTCAGGTCTTTGATCTTTTCCCAATATACTGGTTCACACAGCAATATATATACACCTATTTTTTGAAATCTATCTATCGAAAGAACTGTTACTCAACTTTGCCACTTGAAGAGAGACCTCTCAAAGGAAATCTCAGATTGTTTCTGTTTAATTCCTCCACACAAAGAGCTGAATTGTTTAAATACATTTCTTAATGTGTGTTTTGTTAGGCCAATTCTAAGACCAAAGCAAACGGATAGCAAAAGTCTTCATATGTTGTCAGGGAAGCTGCTATCGTGTTTGTCGTTCCCCCTGCTCCCGGTACCCAGCACTCAACGTTAGACAGACGGTACTTACAAGGAGAATGCATATAATGTCGACAGGAGGAGAGCGAGGCCTGAGGAGGCGGCTGTGGCTGTGGCTGCGCAACAATACTTGATCCATATCCATCTATTGCTATCGACTGGCTTGGGCCAGCAGCAGCCTGATGCCCATAAATTGCTGTTCGAGATGAAGAACCAGGACAGCAGGGGTCAAAAGCAGATGTCCCATGAAAAGCGCCACTTCCATGACTTCTTATACCACTGCTGCTCAAGTCTACTGGCAAAGCCTGCTGTGTAAACAAACCATCTGTTCTCAAACAGTTCTTCAAACACTGAAAACAAAGTCACCTTTAAATAAAATGTGATTAAAAACTATACTCCTATAAACCACCAGAAGTTGGATTTTTAAGAATGTTCCAGAACAAAGTCTTAAGATACGATTAACATTTCTTACCCCTAAATTGTCCAATCTGGGGAAAGAGATTAAATTCGTTACCCTACATTGTATAAAACACCTATTTTGAATAAATCAGTGGATATGCGAGAGCTGCATTTGCTGAATTATTTGGAGGCACATAACAAGCTTGAACATTTTGTTTAGTTGCGCCTAACACCAACTGTTAAGTTGGTGTATGTTTTAAGTGTATGTTGCCAATTAAGTTGCACTGTACTGTTCTTAGATTTTTCAGAAAACAGTTTTAGAACTGTGAGTTTAGTCGGGGGGAAGGGGGATTTAAAACAATCTTTAGAAAAGCAACTTTTACACTTTTTACAAATAGAAAATTAGACTTGAATTTTTCTTCCCTTAGCAGCTCTGCAAATAATTCAGATGCTTTATGAACTGCAGAGTATATTCTGAGGTATTAATGTTTGTTTTGATTAAGGAGTCATCCTCATCTTAATTTATTTTGCTGTACATGTATCACATTTAAAATTTTCCTTTTAGTTTCCTTTTATAATGCCTGCTACAGAAAATAAGCAAATCACACGCAACACAGCATCCTATCCTATTCTCTCATGCCTATAATATGACTTGAAAATGCAAAGGGAGAGTCACAAAAGTTAAACATGCCTGGTCATGGTAACCAGTGCCAGAACTACTGCTTGCTCCACAAGGTGCAGGCACTGGAGGAGGCCTTTCAACAGGGCAGCTGGAGTCACTGAATGAAGGAGACAGTGGAACAGCTGGGTGAGGGTTGTGGTGGTGGTGGTGGTGGTGTTGAAAGTGGTGGCTGTGCTGCTGAAAGCAGCTTGTATGGGAGTGTCCCAATGCATGATGATTCTGTGAAGGTCCTCCACATGGAGAATGCTGAGGGCAGCACGATGGTAACCTTGGCATGGCAGGAGGGCCAGTTTCCAGTGTCGTATTAGATGCAGTTCTTCTTAAATCATCTTGAAATTAAATAAAATTAATTTTGAAGAGAAAGAAATTAGTAAAGCTGATCACTGCAAAGCAGGGTCTGAAATAAAAATATTGATTAAACGATTAACAGACTGGAAAACAGATCTAAACTAAAACAAAGCACACACACACTGGATACAAAAAAAAAGAGGAATCAGCTATGCCTGCAAATGAACCAAATCTGAATGGTTCAGGTGGATGTACTCTTGGGGACTGTTGGAGAAAGTGAATTGAAACTTGCCTTATTGTTCCACTAATTTAAGACATGTAGGAAAAAAGAGGAAAGATTGTCCCTGTGACTATTGTGCAGAGACCTATTTTCACACTTTTGTCTTCAAATTCATGTGCAAACGTGGTCATTTACTCTTTTTTGTATCTCATTTGACCTACAGAAAGGGGCAGAGCACCCACATTTCAGATATTGCGAGTACCCCAATACCATGATAACAGTGAAAAGGGAGAGACAGTTACCCATAGCCACGACCCTCACCTCCAAGAATTTATTCTATTGGTGGTGGTTGCTAGGGGTTTTGGACTTTTTTTTTTTTTTTTTTAATTTAAGAGAGAGCTAGTCTTTCCTTCAATCTCTGATCAGTAGCCAATGCCTAACTTAACTGACAACTAAATAAAAAAAAAAAAGTCTCCAACCAACCAAAAAATCCCCCCCACCAGCAGTAAAGCAATTGGTTTGCAATAAACAAGAGATTAGAGTATATGGCTTAAAGGTCCTTTCCAACTTCAAACTTAGTCTAGTATATCACTTCCAGAAAAGATTGCTTCCACAATCCATTATTAATGGATACCATCAATCTTCCAGTAGCAACAGAAAGAAGCTCCTTCCTAACAGGTTCCAGATATTTCTCTTCTAACAGTTATCAGCTCTTCTTTTGTCATCAATACTGCTAGAGACAAATCTCACTTTAACAAAGCCTAGTAATTATGCTACCTGTATATACAGCTCCATTATAAATCATTACCTATGTAAATCGCTTTCAGCAAAGCGATCTACATGGGGAGAGTCAAGGAATCTATACACATCCCTCACATTTCCTTATGATACATATTTAAAAAACAAACAAACAAAAAACCCCAAAGACACTTGCAACACGTTGCAGTGGAAGACTTCATTCCCAGTGAACACATCTGGCACCCTACCTATATTCTACCTCCTCAGAAAGGATGTGGTCTCAAAAAGGATGTGATCCATTAGACATAGTCAAACCATCCTGACAGATGAGAGCAGAAAGTGGCTCCTCCATGACCTCATTTTTCTTTGGGGAGACTTTATTCAGACTCTTGTTCCCTCAAGTTTACACAGCAAGTCTAACCAATCTCAACTTACTACTGATATGGTCAGTCCTGAAAGCTCACAGGCCACTTTAACTAGAGAAGTCTAATTAACTTCCTTTTTCTCCTTTATACTATTAATTAGTAGGCAATGCAACAGTTTTAGAAGGCTCTCTTATTCTGTACCTCCAGCTGAAGTACCAGCAGTGCTGCTATTGGGAAGACTAGTCGAAGTCTCGGGTGCTGAGGAGGGGGGCTGGCTGCTGGAGACGTTTGGAGCTGCATCAGAGGCCGGCTCTGAGGTAGACGTATTAGAACTGTTACTGGAAGTTGAGCTCACGACCTGGGATTCCACTCTGGCTGAAGTGGTTGGTACAACTGTTGGCTCTAGGGAAACAAACAAACAAACAAAAATAACAACGTGTTATTTAAGCTTTAAAAGCTGTTAGTTATTTGTTTCATCTTCTTTCTTTTTAAACTATCTTACAAGAAATTCTGGTCTTGCCAGATGCTGAGAAAGTCAGAACAAAAAAGCCTGATGTGTATAAAACACAAAAGTTAACTTGGTTTCATGTTTGTGTGAAAAATAACATTTTTTGAATAGCCTCAACATCCTTGGGTTTTTTTTTTTCTTTAACTAACTCAAATTTTAAGAACCAATATAAAAACATTTCCCAAACCAAGTCTGCCATATCAAGAACTTTATTTCCTAGACAAAACACTCCTAGAAAGAAAATTAAATTATTTTGGTACTTCATGATGAAAACACTGGCTTAAACGTTTACTGTAGTCTTTAATAAATCCACAAGCAAACTAATCCGTGACTAGGTATTACCCTTACCATGTTTTTTTAATGCCCACAAAGCACAGGAAAAAAAAAAAAAAACAACTTCTAAATGTCTAACCCAAACCAGCACAAAAATATCTCAGTTAGCAGTACTACTTTACCAACTTCAGTCATTCCAGATGCATAGTACTACAGGCTATATAGCACAATAAACTAATCTTCCAGTCTCGACACACACATTAAGCATTAGTACGAGACTTTCACTAAAAGCATACACGTATTCATTTTGCAGATTATAAATATAATAGCTGGCAACATATTTCATCATATTGAGGGAAATACACTAGACCCTTGATAAATTTCACTCTCTACTGCACAACTGTAAACAGATTAATATTTAAAAAGACACATAGTGGCATAATTCAAATTTAGTTTTTGAAAAGCCTATCTTTGACTGTTAGTTTCAAATCTCTCCCTAATTACTGACAAGGCAATGACATGACTATAAATAGTAGATAAAAGGGAAGATCATCAGAAACGAGCTCCACTTTTTCAGTAGAAGTGTCTGCACAAATATCAGAAAAAGAGAGTCAAGACGTTTAAAATTATATCTCTTATGCTAAAAGTCTCAAGGTAAAATATGACTGTTTTTCAAGATTTCTCTCCAGATCTAAGAACTATAACAGCAACTCAGCAAGCAAGGGAATAAACACATCATCTTTTTTTTGCAGCCTTCCAACTCATTGCATTATAAAGCCTGTAATCCAATGCTTACATTCTTTTGGATTTTAATGTGGTGTTCCAATAAACTAGCTTTATTTCAAGGAAAACATTTTGGGGGAAGTGTATTAATATCTACATTCAGTAATAAAACAGTGAGAATATAGGTCACTTAAAGCCTAAACGTGACCGATATGTGATCGCACAGTGCTCAAGACTGGACGTTAACACATCCTGAAAGCAGTCTTGTGGTCAGGAACGTCTTAATTCTACCAGCCTCAACCACCCTGCTAACCTGTTACTGTTTTGATGTTTTACTCAGTCATAGAGACAGTTCCATTTCCCCCCAAAAGCAGTCTTCCATTTAAAAGCCAGTGGGACCGGTCAATCTCAGACTGTTAGTTAAGAGAAACCGTTGATTCCAGCAGACTTCACAGACATCAATTCGGGAACGTTTGTGGAGAGACGACCTGCAGGCTCAGGTAAGCAGCTAGCAAAGTTTAAAGAGCAGTATTTTTGAAGATATCAGTAGAGCTAGGATAAAGTGGGTAGCTGCCTTGTGAGATGGTGTCAACTCAGATTTTACAATAGTTTGTGTGTGAAAACTGACGTTTACAGGGACAATGGCCCTTCAAGGGCCAGGAGACTCATCCTAAAAAGATATGTCCCATGGAGGCAGAGAAAACAGCTGGTCTTAAAGACACATATTGCAGAAATAAACCTTCATTCATCACCTTATTTTTAAACAAGAATTTGATGTCTGAATTTGAGACCAAATTCTATCGTTTGAATTTAAAAGAGTAAATTAAGCCAATAAACGCAGTATCCAATCCAACGGTATTGCTGTTGAGGTATTTCATAATAAATCTATAAAGAAAAGAAACTCTGATCAACCTATTCCCTTTCACCTTAAAGAACAAGATATGGCAAGATAATAGCTTGTGATACATTTAACAGAGTCACAAGATAGAATTTCTATTAAACATTAAAAGCAGTCTGCAGTCAAAAAAAAAAAGGCCAAGGGGGAATTAAAAAATTTTTTTCCCCCTCCTCTTAACTTTCGCTCACGCAGGAATAAACTAATTAAGTGCCAGGTTTTAATGTCAGGAAACGCTGGAAGTTTCAGAAATCTCTGATATACTTTTACTAATTCTATAGTCTTTGTTTTTTTACACCACCACTCCAATGCTTTAAAGAACAGTAATTACTCCAAAGCACAGGCAGCAGTGAGATTTTCCTTTTATAGTATTGTATTGAAATAATTGCATATTTTTAAAACAGTAGTTCCAACCCGTTCTGTAATTTCTGCCTGGGGAGTCAGCTCTCAGATATACACCCAAGTCAGTTTTTGGAAGAAAAATCAGATCTAAAAAAAGCTAACCTCCTAGCCTGTCAGAAAATTCTCATGTGTCCTTGTTGCCAAAAATCAAGAAGTCCAGCCGTTCCTATCTGGTCTATTAGAACTGAGACTTAACAAAAATAATAAATGAATAACATATAATAAAGGTATATTCAATTAATTCCCACTCCCCTCATACTGACTGACCATCTTGTTTCTGAAAAAGGAAGAGATCTCTCAGATCAGTGCAGCTTACCATCTTCATCCACTGTAAGGTCCACTACTTCTGCTGCATTCTGTCTCAGCGGCTGTATGACTGTGGAAATCCTACTACGGTTTCGCTGCTCTTGTGGTCGTGCAGCATGAGAACTAGAGCTCTGTCCCCAGTGTGATCTTGAGTGTCCGAGGGTTGAACGAGACCTTATAAAAAAGGTATACCTTTAGTATTGACATAAAGTTTGCTCTCATTAAATACACTTTTCTCACTGTTCAAGAAGTTGGCTGGTCACTAAAGCTAGTTCAGAGTATATTGCTATTCGAAATGCATTTTTATTAGAAAAGCATTTTCTCAGGTTCGAATACCATGCTACTCCACATTCCCCAGACGAGTATTTAAAAACGCTACTGCCTCCTTTAACAGGTAACATAATAGCAAACATCCAAAGGAGAGAGCTTAGAGGTCTTTAGGCTGACACTTCTGCCACGTGCCTAAGAACAAATACAGGTAGAGTGGTACAAAATGCAACACGAAAATCCAGAGCTGCAGTCAGACAGTGATTTTATCTAATGTTATGTTTTAACATGCTAACAGGATACGAGAATCTCTGAATCCTGCACTACTTATTCCCCAGACTGTGAAACAGAAGATCCATCAATGATGACTGGAATGTGAAACTCAAAGATTTGTAAATATTAAGTTCTTTTGCATATTTACTTGTGACAAAATACTTTCAGAGGATTATTTCTGTACCTAACTGTAAAAGTCAAAAACAATCTCTGGACTTCTCTTGAATATTATTTCCCCCCTCTTAAAAATAAATATAGCTTTGTATAATGCTTACAGAGTACTGAAACTTAACTGAAATGTAACATAAGAAAGGAAAACATAAGCTTGTATCATACTGAAGGAAACAGATGGTTGTATTTCTGTAGCATTACACATAGCATCCATTCTAGTCAATTTAGTCGTCCAAAGCTAAACGCTCAAGTCAATGATACTTTGGAATCCAGGCTAAGAGGATACTGTCTTTAATTAAGGGAAAAATATTTTACAGTATTATATTTGCCAGGTCCCCCTTAGCCAAAAAAACCTTTGACTGTCCAGTACTTACATAAACCAAAAGGCTTGATTTTCCAATTCGGAAAAAAAAAAAATGAATTCAGACTTTAAAAATTCAGGAGAGGAAAGAGTGAAGAAAAGGGAATAATTTCACTAAAAATAGTGAATTCACTATAAAAATCACTGTGGAGCTCATAGCCTGTATTTGTATTCTGCCCGTACTCCCTTTACCCCATCTGTATAGCCCACTAGGAGAGAAGATCAGAGTATATTTCCATAGTGCTTTATCCATCATTAAAAAGGCATAGTAAAATGAAACTGGAACTATGATTAGAATATTTTCATAAAATCAGCTGCTATTATGAACTTCAATTACTGAAATTTCTTATTCTGAAGTTTAAGATGTCCCGTTATTTCCTTGAAAACAAAAGGCTGTCTCAATTCAGTAGTCCTAAGTTGCACATCCCGGCCTTTATTTCCTTGTTATGATTAAACAGGACATTATTCTGAAAATATTTTACTTAAGAATGACTAATGAATGTGTCAGCTATACACTGGTGTGTATATTCTGCCACTGATGAGTCCATATAATTTTAAAAAGACTGTATTACTTCACATCTGTAAAGTACGTATGGCTAAAATGTTTACTTTGTTTAATGCTAAGAAGAATCAAAATCAGACTGTAATAACTTTTTTCTTAGTCAGAACAGAAGGGTGTCACTAGCAGTCTGGCAGATGCTATCTCATCCTCCTAGGTATGATTCCGACTGCTACACTGCTGCTTGAGACTGCAGTTACTTTTTATCACAATGGTTTACTTCCTCTCTACTTTGAGAGTAGCCCTACCTTGATGAAGTCCTCGAAGGAGAAGGGAGTCATCATCATTGCATACTAACTTCTTGATGGACTACAGGGCAGTGTGGAAAATGAAGGACATGGAAGAAGAGACCAACACATGGACTTTTGCAAGCAGTTTTCTCAAACCTGAGACTGTGTGCAATGTAAGGAAAACAAGTTTCTATATGCATGTGACTGAGCGTGGATTCAACAGGCTACCAACTCCATCTCACCAGCAGCCACTCAGAAAACAAGCAGAAAAGCATTTGCTTTTTGTTCCCACAAAGCTAATCAATCAGAATCAGACAAGTAATTAACCAGCTCTGACAAAAGAAAAGAACCAGCAAACATCATCTTCACAGATTAGAGCTATTGCTCCGTGAAATCCATAGGTGCAGTTGCATTTATTCTTCTGGGCAACCACCGCTATCCTCAAGACAACCTAGAAATATCATTTACATTCAGACCTCTGATTCAAAAAACATAGCATGTGTTTTCTTCAAGAAACAGGAAGATAGGCAGAAAGTCTAGATGAAGGATGAGTCCTAGAGCCTCCATCAAAAAGCAACACTAACTGATTCTGCAGAAAGGAAGTCACCATCAAGGATGTTGAAGAAGAATACAACTAAAGTTTTTCCCCAGAGGGCTTCTGGATTTCATCTTTCATCCAAGAGAACATGTTGTAGCTACAGTCACTAGGAAGGACAAAAAGAATCTTGTCTTTACTGAAACAGACCTTCTTCCTAAGTGGGTGCTAGAGAATGATTAATCCGTGAATAATATTGTAGCAATTCAGAGAAATAAATCCATCAAGACAATGTATTCAGCAATAAAAAAAAAAAAAAAAAGGTGAGTATTGACAAATAGGATGGAGACACATTTGTTCATTCAAATTAACAAATACTGGTTTCCACAGAAACTCAATAAAAACATCTTCTGAAGAACAGTGGTAGAAGACCCTGAATCCACAACTGTAAGCGTTTGTGTCTTGGGGTGGTGGTGGAAAGAAATAAGAGAAGGGGAAAGTAGGACAAAACTATCATAAAATATTTATGCATTTATGCACTACATCATCTGCAGATTAGAAGTCCTGAAGTGTCAATTCTTGTCTTTCCTCTCTGATGTCTTCTATGAAACAGGCACTGGTTTTAATATTTTACGTAATTTTGCATGTAGACAACAGACCATAAAAATGGTACATCATAGTTAGCTATCTGCCAAATGAATTGGTGTGGGGCGGGGGGGTATGGCAAGAATTCCAAATAACGCACCCCCCTCCCCAAAAGGGAGGGATTTACAATTGCCAGTACAGTTACCTAGATTTGTTTACTTTGCCTATGTGCAGATGCTTTCAGGATTCTTGCTGCCTAATCTGGCAGCAATGAAGATGGAGGCTGGCATGGAAGCATGAAGTCTGTGGTTAACTTAAACTGTGGTTTAAGTTAACAAGGAAGATCTTAAGCTCTCCCACAGTTAAGGGCTGGAGACCCAAAAAAGGAACTGTGGCTTAAGGATTCCCACCAAAAGTGGTTTTCTAGAGACAAATCATTTTTACTGCATTTAGGAAATTTCAGAATAACTTCTTCAGGAGCGAATCTAAATAAGGAAGCGATTTTCATGAAGTCTCCTCCTCACTTCTGAGAAAGTAAAAAGAGCAGCTATCTACTGGGCAATTTTACACTGATATTACTAACAAGGTATACAACTTAAGAGTTAAGCTCAAGCACTACTTATTCATTGTTGAGCTATAGCGTCCCATTATCGTGCTTCCCAGAGGCCACAGACAGCTTTATCTGATCTTATTTTTTCTAAAATAACATTAATCAGAGCAAGATTTCACTAACAGAGTGGAGGAAAATAACAAGGAACAAATGCTATAAGGTAGGAGAAAAGGAAAAAAAACAAAGCCCATACAATATTATACTTAAGAAACCAGAAGGCTTAGCAAGCACAAAATGGTACCGTTTACTGTCACAACAAGCTTGACCCTTTCATGATGGGACCTGAAGAGTTACTCAAAAAGGCTGCCTGAAGAAACTGCAAAAAGAAATCCTCTCTCTTGCACAAGTCTAGTGCTCCTAAGCTTGATCTTCTCCCTCTCCAGCATCCTAAGCTTGATCTTCTCCCTCTCCAGCATTACTACTGTTTTTTACTTAGGCACCCACTTTCTCTTTGAGAGAATTTCCCTTCTGAGAATTTTCCATTTTTGTCTTCTTCATCTATTTCCCTTTTTTTCCCCTGCCCGCAACAAGTTGTTAACATTGAAAGTTCATCTCACATCCACTAACGTGCTCCTGTTCTAGATCACAACAGGATTTGCCTCAGCATTTTCAAGATGAATGTTATTTCCTTGTCTCTCTGACTTTTCCAAGTCTAAATGCAAGCATTTTGAATTTCTTATGCACACAAGAGTGCTGTGTGGAGAACACTGGCTTGTTCTGCTTTTTTCAGTAACCTTCTCTCCCTCAGAGTACTTGGTACAATCAAAAAGAGGATGTGGAAAAAGACAGATTAAGCAGTTCATGAGTTCTATTCCCTCCTTTGTGATCTCTAGTACTAAAATGCCCAGTGAGTGAGCTCAATACCTGGAGCTCAGCTGATGGTTAACAACTGCATTCATACAAAAAGCTTTACTCATGCAAGAGAGCTTCAAGTGCATCAATTTCTTTTAACAAAAGAAGCTATAAGTTGACTACCTAAATAAAGATGTTCCTTAAATTAGACTAACGATCTATACACAGTCACTTGTTTAACAGTATGTTTAGAAAAATAAAAAGGATTATTTTCTATTTAGGAAGAAGCAGAAATCAGCTGTAACATGCTTTAAAAAAAATCTCAATTGTACAAGATTCTTATCATAGCTTAAGTAAAGAGCATACTCTTATATTCATCTTTTATTTACTGATGTCAAGATTAACAGTTCAGAATTTTAAGATTTTTTTCAAAACTGTGAGGAGTAAAGTTGCAACTTCCTTGAAGAATTCTCTATATTAAGATAAACCTCAAAGTGACAGCCTCCTGACTTTATGCAAACTTCTTCAAATCTACAATCTTTTTCACTACTATTCATTTATATTCTGTAACTTCATGTGTTACAGGCATACATATTGTTACTCGACTAATTAAATTTTGAAAAGAACAGGATAAGTCTCAGTTCTGTAGTAAGCAATACTTAACAAGCACTGAAAAGCTTAGCCCTTTTTTCCCCCCACAGGAAAAAAAAAAAAAAAACTAGCAGTAAAGTGTTGAAAGATGTATCTTCATTTTTGAAAATTTGATTTGATTCTTTTTTTTTTTTTTTTTAAAGTTCTTCTTCAAAAAAAAGTTTGTCTTTAAAAAAATTTCTATATAAATGAGATGGGTTACTATACTATTTGAGAAGTATTTATTTTGCCCTGAACAGTATTCTGAGTTTGGTAAATAACTTTCATAATGTTCAGTTGATTTAGAACATTTAAATTTATAATTTTAATATTGAGTTGCCATTTAATTCCAAGAGCTGCTTTTTGTTCCTCAGATTGCGGTTTGGCAAGACTGATATGCTTGAACCACAATAAAATCTGCATAGGAAAAACTGCAAGTTCATCGTATAAAAGATTAGCATAGAAGAGAGATTTCCTGATATTTTGGGTTAAAGATTTTTGTTTAAGACTCTTCCTCGTTACAGCAAGCTCCCTGGGATTTTTTTTTTTTTTTAAACACTATATTTTTACTACCTAAAAATATGATGCTTTCCAACACAAAATAAAACTCGATTACTTTTGTAGTCTTCTCATAACATTTTCATCTAAATATTGACAAAGTAAAGTCTCCTCTTAACAGTTGAGGGTTGTAGAATAAAGAGTTAAAGAATAAAACTTGCTATTTCACCATTCCATTATGACATTAAAAAATTGAATTCCTTTGAGAAATCTACATGTTAGAAGGTCTGACAAACTGAATAAGTGCAAACTTAAATTCACCAGAAAATACCATTGGTTCAATCTCATTCTCACTGAAGTCACCAGCAAAGCCACCACTGACATCAATAAAAAACAAGAGGGATTTTTGCTGCTGTTCTGACTGCAACGTCACAGGGGGAAAGGGGAGAAAGAATTAAGTAATGGCTTTCAAGCTGTTTATGGTTACTACATAACCATTTCTCACCAAGGCTAGGAAGAAAGAAAGCTGAATTTTTAACAGCGTGCTCTCTATATTTAATTAGGTCTTGAATTAGTGTTCAATAAGCACAACCAGTTTCATCTAGCCTCATTTTTTACACTCTAAAACTTTATTGGCCAGCTATAAGAGCCTAAAGCGATAACTTACATTGCTCAAGTTTTTCCAAGCACACGTGTTGTTTCTGAAGTTTTAATGACTGTTCTGAACAAACACACGTTCATGTAGATAAATGAACTGTTTCTGGAACATATTTTAACCCTCTCAAGACAAAGCACCTGTTGATTCTGCAGTTTTGGATTTCTTAAAGAAAAAAAATTGATCCTTTACCTTTCCTTCAACAGGACGAAATAAAACAAACGTTGTTCAAAAAAAAATGCATTTTACAATGCCGATTTCTCTCACATCCTCCCATTTTCACTCGGCTATAGACTTAGGCTGCGTATTTTTGTTTGACATCTTTCATGCACAAGAGTTCAAAAAAAGTAGAGAGGAGTTACTTAGAAATGTTCATGAAAACAACACAGGTTCTAGAATGCCATTTACTCCAATAAAAGTAACTTTTTGCAAGATGACCTGTCTGGTTTCTTAAATATGAAATTGCATTAATGAAAGCACTAGCTATCTGAGGACAAACAGATGGCATGTTTTTATAAACTATTGCCTATTGTTCTTTTACACTTATTTTATTAAAACGGATTTAGTTTTTCATTTTTTACAACTATGTCCTCACATCCACAAACAAGCTTACTTAATAGGCAGGCATCTCTAACAGTTCCACATACATGGAACGTTCAAGTTTTCTGCTTCAAGAAACTCCACTCTAACGGACTCTGCGAAATCAAACCAATACTTAGCAAAACCTACATAGAGGCATGGAAGAATGGGAAAGTACATATGGTGACAGCAGGAGAAGTTTCAAAATAGTAGGATGCTTTGCTGAGAAACGCTCTGCTCATCCCGAGACAGACAATCCAACCTAAAATTTGTTCTCTCTGGCATCTTACTGTGCAGGTTTGCTCCCCCCCAAATTCTGCCATCTCAGTCATGCTAACTGCAACCACCTCAGCAATTCCAGATTAGTGGAATTTGCAAGGCTTAGCAAGGCTATGGGTTTTTTTGTTTTGTTTTTAAAATCAGAAATGCCTACTATGCATGTTGGTTAGAATTCCTATAACGTTACCTTATGGGCTTCTAATGATACAGACCCTCATGACAAACTTGAAGACAAGCAAGACTGCATTAATACAAACACATGCAAGCCTCACCTGTAGCTTTCACCAACTGTTACAATCTCCACTTCACTGTCTGTTGAGGTAACATTTATTTCTTCATTGGCAGTGACCTGGGGAGTGGAGGATGCTTCAATCACCACAACGTCTTCATCGATACTTCCTGATAAGGAAAGAGGAGGAATAAAGTTTGTACGTCATCTCTCTCAAGAGCTGTCATCACAAAAGTCTAGTTTTTCCCCCCTAAACTTAATATATATGTAGGTAGGAGAATTGCACAACATTAAGTGCTAGTTTTAATAATTAGGTCATTTATTTGATAGTTGCAATTCTGCTTTCTTCTCTCATCACCAGTACATAACTGTTCAGAGACCTTAAATAAGACAAAACGCACTACTTAAAGCTATTCCAAAACTCCTAATCAGTAATCTCAAACTTCCACAGTTAATAGTAAATTAAGTACGCAATAAGACCCAAAGTGAAAAAGAAAAGAGATAGAATAAGACGGGGTGGGAGGGGAGAGGATAGAGATAAGCAAGCCTCCACTCCACTACATATTAGAAACAATTCCGATGCATTTTATTAGCTGTAACACCAAAGAACACCTGTCTCTTATTGCAAAAGCAAAATAAACTCTTTAAGCTTTAGCAAAGCAGTGCTGGTTCATTATCATGAATAACTATTTTTTATCATGTTTTTGTAGGTATTAAAGCCTGAAGGCTAAACAATGACAACAGAGCAAAAAATGAAGCGCAATGTATACAAGTTATTTCTAAAACAAAATACAGACCACAAATCTATTAGTGCTATAAGCATGTTTACATCTGCACTTTCTGTGACATTCAATTATATGGACTAGACAAAGTTAAAATGAAATTATCAATGGTAATCAAAACAAAAAACCCCAAACACCACAAAACAATTAACAGGAAGTTTTGGCAGGAAGCTCAATTTCCACTGTAAGTCCGGAAGAGTGATTAAACTGCCAGCCTAGTACCCCGACACTTGTACAGCTATCGCAGTGACAATGGTAAGTTTGGACTACCCAGAATACTTAACTTGAGCTATGGGTTATTTCACTATAGCAATACCACTGAGCACCAAAAAATTTACTTAATAAATATGAGCTAGAGAGCTGAGAAATGGCAAACTTTACCACCCTGAGAGCTGCCAATTTCTTGCAGACAGGTGCCTGAGCAATCGATACTGTATCCTGTATGGCCTCTTCTCAGCTGCTCTACGCAATGACAAGGCACATGGTCTTTTTTGTTCTCACTAAGCACCAGCTTCCTGGTCTAGGGAAAGGACACACATTGCTATGACACAGATCCCTGAGCTCTGCACCGCTCAGCTATGTGGCTGCAACTGAAATAGCAGAGACTGACAAATTTCAGGGGTGGGGGTGGGTGGACTCTTTTTCTCCCCCCTTGATAGATTTAAAGAAAATCCACGTTTCCAAATACCGTCACTCATCAAGGTATTCTGATCTGAGAATTTTGTCACTTATTACTTCTGAAGTTGCATGAAAGTTTTGGGGAAAGAAGCTGAGAACATTAAGATGCGTAAAAAACAAAGCCCATGCTAAAAGTGAAAATAGAAAAAGGGCACTTGGTCAAAACGAAAGGGAGCTGAAGTCATCACCACATTCAGAAGTAACTATCATGTTTTTGACAACTTGGAAATCACAGGCAAATAAACAAGCAGCTTCTGTACATGGTGACCTTAGCCACTTGTAAGAAAAAAACCCCAAACCCAAAAACCACCCCCCCCCAAAACTAGCTAGCCAAACAGTTGAAAGGTCAGTTGGAAAAAAGCATCTGTCTCCCCCCTCCCCCAAATCTTTGCTTCCAAACATGCACTTCTTTGAAGCACGGTAAGATTGAGGGCTCTCCTGGAGCTCCATACATCCTCAAATACAACTTTTATTGAAGTTTATGACAGGTGCAAAAGCAGAAGATTTAGGCTGAAGTATGGTCTACTTTATTTCTGGAGATAAACAGCACCTCCGTGAGGCCAAAATCACATGCTGTATAACTCCAGCATGCCGCCTCTACCTAAATTCTGACACAAGTTTACCTCAAGAAAACCAAAGAAAATTCACAAGTGAACATCGACACAATTCAGACACCCACCTTTGTACTTAATCCTTTCTTTAAGCAAACCTTTACTCAGGATGTGATTTGACAGACTACATAAAAGTCAGACTGCAGAAACCATCAGGATTGTTACTGGCTGAACAGGTTTTTGTTTTGTGTTTTTAAAATAAGCTCCAAAATAATTACAAAAATCTTTAGGAAAAGAGTCAAATTTGCTATAAATAGGAAATAGGTTAGCTATATTTCAACCTTCTGCCACTTCCTACTGCCCATGCTTTAATAGCACTTTATGAAGTCAAAAGCACAAACTGATCAACAGGTTTTCATCCTGCAAAGTACTTTCAGAACAAGTATACAAGTTATCAATACACACTTCCATCAAAATGGAGACTGTCAGGAAAAAAAAAAATCTCTATATAAGTATTCATAAGGTATCTGGTAAAATTATATTTCTAGGGGAAAAGTATTAATACAGCTAAAGATCACATGTAATTTTATGCCTACTTTTAAATGAAAACAGCTTCCATGTAAGACCTATTACAATTGGTCTAACAGCACACCAAAGGGAGAAGTACGCTTATATGAAGTTCCTATGTTTTAAAAATGTTGTAGTAGTTTGGGAGAACAGCATATAAGAATCAGACAATCAGCCAATATAAACTGATTTCATTAAATATTTTTATCTGAAAAATGAAATTAAGAAATTAGTTGAATAGCAAAACTTCAGAAAAATGAGCAACATTGACGCAATCTTCATAATCCTCTATCAAGTATGGAAGTATGCAAGCCATGGAGCCAGTAGTACTAAGTAGTCTCAAAAGCCGATTTTTCACTGCCAACAAGATTTACCGTTTCTTCCTTGCCTCTCCTAACACATTAGGAGGAAGAGAACACAGTATTTGAAGCATCACAGACAAAACCACATCAGTTTATACTAACTTACAAAAGCTCCTATGAAGCAGAGCAAAGGACAGTGTTAAGATTGAAAAAAAGTCTTTGAAAGAATCTGTCAAAGCGAAGTCTCAGAGGACAGGCCACTTGGCAGGCTGAGGGGAAGGTAGAGTGGGTGTATGTAGCAGATGAGCAGCCACTCTACTTCCTATTCCTTGGTAGCAAGGAGAGTCTCCTGAAACTTCACCAAGACCATATATAAGGGATTTTTCCTAACAGTAGAGCAGTTCATTTAAAAAGCAGAGGTAACATTTTTAAGAATTAAAATGGTACTGAACTAAAGAACGAGTGAAATTTAAGAAGCTTTTTTGAACACTTCATACTACCAAAGCTGAGAAAGATACAGCTAAGAAATTATCTGCTAAGTAGACTGAAAATTCAAGCCTGCCGGTCTGAACTTACCAGAACCCACTTCTAGCAAAGCCATGATGTTTTGCAGTTTCCCATAATGTAAGTCTGCAGGTTAAGTTAAAGCCTGAAAGTGAACTTCAGTGGGATTTCACTCTGAGTAATATAAGTTAGTTTTTGACTTGAATTTTAAAAGAGCACCACCCTGTCAGGGAGAAGATTAACCATCTTTAGAGAGGTGACTGCTCTGCAGAAGTACAAAAAAGAATTTCCAGAGGTTTTACTATATTATTTTTAAAAATTATCTCCTGGAGAGAGTTTTGAGGCACCTGCACACCTCAAACATTTATCACAGATGTAATTCTTACAAGCTATGTGATGAATCTATGGCTACACATTAACAGTAAACAACTGAACAATTCCTTAAGGTATCCGGGTCTATATACTTGGTGAATATACATCAAGAACTCTTATTTCCTGCTGTTTTTCAGTACAGCATAAATAAAACAGGATCTGGCATTTCAATAAATCCTAATATAACAAATGACAAAACACTGTATTTCTCAATATTACTTTTGACCTTGCAGTCCACTATACGAGACATTTGTATACAGTTCCTAACAACAAGGTACACTGCATTTACTCGCTTTAATGCATGCGCCAGTCAGTGACCAGTCATCTTTAGCCTGGAATGAACATTAAGCAAATTCAATGTTACTTAAGGTGTAACTACTACTACCTTACTCATCAATGTATCATCTAAATAATTGACCCTGTAAGAGAACAGCCAAATCTGCATAATTAGAGAGTTACTATATTTTAGTTTTATACTCCTTGAAGGTGCTCTCCCCTCCCCCAGCAAGGAGCGGTGGGGAAGAAAAATCTGACTGATGGCAGCAAAAAAAGTTACGTAAATCTATGGCAGGTATTTTGTACTACTCTAAACATCATACTTATGGTTATATAGCAAAGGAAAAATTACTCTCCTGCAGGTCTAAACTACGTCTCTCTGCCACCTACTGAATGACAAAACGCAGAAAGCAAATTATACTCTAGTTGTTTGTGACTAAATTAGCCCAAAGACTCATTCTACATTTAAAATGAACTGGTGAAAAACAAAACTTCTGAAAATTACAGTAAGAATTTTATTAGTTTCCACTGGATTTAGTTTTCTGCCCTGTTCACAGCCGTGAATTATATTTTACAATGCATGCAAAACACTAAATATTAGCTCAAATATTAACAGTACATAGCAGTTGGGTTTTGTACATGACTTATACTCATTTTCAAATATGCAGTATTTCTTTTTCATTCTTTCCAGGAGTCCTGCCCCCCCCCTTCTTTTTTTTAAAAGCCTACTTAATGATTAAAACTAGTATTCAGCCAACCTAGGGGAAAGGAAGAACTACACTGGAGCATCTTAGCATGAATTCAAATTTGAACATGCTGAAAGGTGATTTCATCCCTTAGAAAAACTCAAACACTGTGAGGCCCCATATCAAGGATTAAAATGATTTAGTAAGCAGAATGCAATGTTTTAAATAATGTAATACTTTGTACCCCAATATTTAGATCTTTAAATAGAGCACATCTTTTCCCTAGAAAATTGTTAGATTATGGTAGAATTATATCTGCTAGGTACTTTTAATAGGCCACATGCAGTTTTGGGAATTAAGTTTTAGTATCAAATATTTTAATTATCCAAAAATCATACATAATGGACTCTAAGCTTTGCTTTATATGCAGTACTACTTCCTAACTCTGAAAG